TAAAAAAAAAAAAGAAATGAGGTAAGGTATAAATCAAAGAAAACTCAGTCAACTTTAGTTTTAGATGGAGAGTTGGCAGCAAGCAAGTAGCCTTTTTAGGGATATCATTTGACAAAAATGTAGAGGTTGGTCAAGGCTCACGAGTTTGAGAGAAGCCTGGGCAACTTCCACTGAGCTTCTCAGTGTGTTGAAAAATAGAAATGCCAAAGTCAATGCCAAGTAAACATGAATTTAGAATTGTATACTGAACACTTTCTTCTTTTAATCTTGATGAAGGACTCTTTAAATTATGTATAATGCTGTTGGAACTGATATTTAAAGGCTAAATTTGTGGCTTTTTGTGAATATGAGGACTAGGCCCAATGGGACCATTTTGGAGATTTCCTCTCACAAGACATGAACATAAGTGTCAGCTCTGCCACTTTACTGATCACGTGAACTGTGGTCTAGTTATTTATCTTCTGAACCTCAAGTTTTGTTATGAATATTAACTGAAGTAACATATAGAATGGTTTTAAATTTTGACTTTTTAAAAAAAGAAAAACATTTATTGGTACATTTTATTTTATTTTATTTTAGTTTATTTTGAGACAGGGTCTCGCTATGCAGTTCAGGCTGGCCTCAAACTCACAGGAATCCTCCTGCCTCAGCCTCCCAAGTGCTGGGATTACAGATGTATGCTGCCACCATCATGCCTGGCTTGGTACATTCTAGATATACATAATGATAACTTTCAACACAGGGAATTTGTACCAGTATACGGTATATCTTGCATCTTCTCTTTTTCTCCCCATCCCCACCCCGCTATGTACAAAAGCTTTGTTTCCATTTTTCCTTCAATGTTCTTTTTCTTCTTATCCCTCTTTCCTTTCTCCCTTCCCCCTCCCTTGTTCTCCTTCTCATTTGAACATTTTCTTCCCATTTTGCAATATCTATTATACATTTTAGTCCTTATTTCTACTTTCAGTTTCTCACACCAGAGAAACAATGCAATATTTAAACACGTGTGTTCAATTTATTTCACTTAAGAGTATGGTCTCAAGGTGCATTGTTTAGCTATAAATGTCTCAAGCTCATCCTTCTTTATGGCAGAGTAGTACTTCATTATATAAAAAACCCACATCTTCTTTATCCATTCATTGCTTGATGGGCATTTGCACTGTTTCCAAGATTTGGCTACTATGAATTATGCTGCTATTTACATCAGTGTGTATATATTGCTGTAGCATGATGCTTTTAATTATTTTGGGAGGATATCAAGAAGGGGAACAGCTGGGTCAAATTTTGACATGTTATTTGAATACTATTTATTTTAATTTTGAAGTTTATTTTCTGAGAAATGCTTTCTGGTGAAACTGGAAATGGGAAAAAACAAAAAAAGGAAAAAACCAATGTCCCAGTCATTGTTCAAATAATGGTGGGGGACTGATATCAAGGATAGAAATAACAGTTGGCATGCTAGGCATTTGGTGCAACATTGGGATTCACATATCATGGACAGTTAAGCTGGTCTTATCCTCAAAATGGCTGTTTTGTTTAAAAATTGTTGTACAGGGGCTAGCATGGAGTGGTGAGTGAGAAGTAGGCAGAATTTATTGATGTAAGACTCTCCTGGGAACTGCATGATGCCATTTTGGCTCTTCTGGCACCTTAGCAGTGGGGCCCAAGGTTAAGGCACAGCCCTTGTGGCCATGCAAGGGGTGTGCAAAGCACCAAACAGCCACAGAGGGAATACGGACCACAGTCCCTGCTCACCGACATCTTGGCTTGCCCGGTGCTTGCCAC